TTGCGAATATTTTATGTCCTATGTTTTTTTTCAGGGGACCTACCATTTCAAAGTTATTCAAGGTTAAAGGTCCCAAAAAAGGGAGGTATTGTACAAACAATAAAACGGTTGGTCCTAAAAATTGAAAAAACTTTTTTATTAATAATTTCGCACAGTTTACTATGATTATTTTAATTTGCTACGAGAAAATTATTATGATCGTTTGATTTCACAATTTCTGGATTTCAACATATTTCGACATTTTAACGTGTGGAATTCATATAAAAAAAATGAAATATCATAATGTCTTCAAAACAGTTATTTTTATGACGAAATCGATAACGACTATTTTATAGTACATTATTTTTTAAACATTTTCTGGTAATTTCCAAAATGTTTTTGAATTTTTGGTGTCGATTGTCACTAGGTAGCGTAAAGCTTAAACAAGTTGGACTTACAAATGAACATTGTTGCTGATACCTATTGTACGATAATGTTCATAAATTTCAGGAAAGCCAATTTGTAATCGAAATCGTCTAATGAGAAGTTCCTCGTGTGGGCGCCCCGAATGGCCTTACACCAATTTTTCTTTTTTTTTTTTCATTCAGACCTTCTGGAATAGCTGATGATCTCTATTCCCACTATAAAACTCTTCTTTCTTCAACTACGACTATTAAATCCGCTTCAGAGCTTGAAAATCTTGAAACGAAGAAGAATAATGATATGAATTTCGATATAGCATTTGAAGAAATCGTTAATATTATTATCTTCCCATTAGGAAGTTATTGAAATTGGGTCGATTGGTGAAATTTGAATTTTCATCATATCTTCACGTTTCATGGTATTTGCAAGCATACTGACCAATTTTTTATGTATGTATGGACGTCAGAATTTTTTTCGTTTTCGATATCTCAAGAACGGATTAAGATATCGACTTCAACCAAAATTAATTCAAAGGATATTATCATAAAGAAGATCGGAGTAAAATTTGAACAAATTCGGTCTAGCCGTTTTTTTTTATGACAAAATAATTAATAAAAAATGAAAAGATTAGCTATTTAAAGCACTTTTAAGTCAAACAATAACAATTTCATTTGAAAATTGAGTCGATACTGACTAGACATTATTGTTCACAACCAAATATGACTTTCAACTTTGTTATAAACAATTACTGATGGGAAGTTCGTCTCGTTAGCACAGACAAAGTGTGTTCAGACTTATTTTTGTATCTTATGACATGGGGTGGAGTAAGAGAAGAAATGGAAAGAGTTACGACAGTTTAAATGGATATGCTGCTATTATAGGTTTTTTAAGTAGTAAAGTTTTAGATTATATGACTTGCACTCGTAAGTGTAAATTCTGTGATAGAGGTCATAAAAAAGAGGACCATGACTGCTATAAAAATTTTGAAGGAAGTGCTAAGGCAATGGAGCCTGCTGCGGGGGCTTCATTTTTGAATTATAGCGCAATTTTGGACGGGCAAAATCTATGTGTTAGAAGAATGATAGGTGACGAAGATAGTTCCACTATACAAGCAACAAGGACTATTCACAGACTTTCAGATAAAAATCACCTTATGAAAGGGTTTAACAATGATTGATACTCTTTGCAACCACAATATAAAGAAATGAAAAATAAAAAAACTATACCGCATTTGAAAAAATGCCTTAGTTATGCAGTTGCGCGGAATAAGGGAAAGAGTTAAGAGCTAGCAACAACTTTACGGAGTATTCCAGACCACGTTTTTAATCAGCATCAAAATTGCGGTGATTGGTGTCACAGTAACTCGGATAGCGATTCATCTAAACAAAAAATTATTTTAAAAAGTCCAGAATTATACAATAAGTTGAAAATAATACTTTTCAAGTATGCAGCTAATGCACCTAAATTTTCGATTACGGCTTCTAGTCAGGCTAATGAAAACCTAAATAATATAATGGCTCATAAAGCTCCTAAGAACCAATGTTATAGTTTAACTGAGTCAGCTAATTTCCGATATGCGAGTGCTGACAATCTTATTTACTAGATGTAAAAAAAAATTTAACACTGTCACCTGGAAAGCATACATGCAAATTTATTGAAAAAAGAGATGAAATAAAACGAAAGAGAGCCACGAAAGCAGTATTACCTTCTTCTAAACGTCGACGGACTATTTTGACTGAAAATATTTTAAGTAATTTAAGGAAAAAAAATGGAGAAATCAGAAGGAGTGTAGCATCAGTCGAATGTTGGCTTGTTACAGGATGAAAATGACTTGAAGCTTTCATCAGATTGTCAAGATTTCGACACTAACTCAGAGGTATTATCGATCACTTCAAAAACTTGTAACTTGGTATTTTTTTATTTGGAGACTTCCGGATTAAGAAAGCATGATGAGATTTTGCAGATTGGAGCTCAATTTAAAGATCATTTATTCAGTGTTTACATTACTCCTACAAAACTACTAAATTCAGAGGCTTCAAAGCATACAGGATTAAAATTTATTTCAGGAAAATTATACTTCCATCATAAAGAAGTTGATTCTATTCCATTGGAAGATGCATTAGATTCGTTCAGACAATTCCTTAACTTTTCTTCAAAACCTTGTGTGCTTGTTGCACATAATGCAACCTTCGATTCTCTTTTTTTAATTCACGCTATTCTTCATAATAAAATGATTCAAGATTTCCGTCTCATAGCTGGTTTTTATGATACGTTTGCACTGTTTAAACAATGTTTTTTTCAAAGAAAAGGTGAGGGAAAGTTTAAACTCGAAACATTAGCTAAAGATTTTACTACTGATAAACTAAATGGAAGTTTTCGTGAAGCATTATACGATGTCAGAGTTTAAAAAACACTTACTTAGTTTATAAAAAAAAGATCTATATCAAACCTCTAAAAGTTTTGCAGATTCAGTAAAACGTGTGTTAGAATCACACGACATTACCATTAGATTACGATATTTGGAACCTTTAAAAATGTATTAACCAATACTATGCTCAAAAAATTAGCTAAAGAACGAATTTTACAAGCAAAATTCAATGAGAGAGGCGAAGATGGTTTATTAGAATTTTTAAAAGACAAAAAAAATAACGGCAAGCTAAGATTTACTAAACATCAGCGAATATTAAACGATATAGTAGTTTTTTTCAATCAAAAGAGAAACAATTAATTAAATATATGTTTTGTCTTAAACTTAAAAATGTGATATCTATTTATTATAAAAGTCAAAATGCTGTCACTCTAATAATTTTAATATTTTCGATGTAAAAAATTCTTATGTTTTGCGAAAATGCTTTAATAAATGCTTTTATTGAAAAATAAATAAAAATTTTAATTATCTATCAATAGTTTTGAAATGTTAATGGTTAAGCCTTAGTATACCCAGATAGACTTGGTTGATCATCATAAAATTCATACAACGATTTCTGGAAATTTTATGTCAACTTTCTGTACTTTTTATTTAATATATTGAATTTACTTCGGATTTCCACTAAATTTAAATCTGTCCAGTTGAAAAGCGATGGATCAGGAATAGGGTATTCCAATTAGCAATCAATTTTGATTATAAATTTGTGGAAATTTGAAGTAAATAATCCGGAATTTGTCTATCTGGGTATATAAAAATTCTTTATGAATATCACAGGGGTTCGCCCTCTTTTTAGCTAAATACAGTGTTAGATTTTTTCAGTATAAAATTTGAATGGTTATGTATGACAAAAATTCTTTCGTTCTAATTATAATAAAATTAAAAATATACAGAAAACTGGTTTTATTGTATTTTGAGCATATTTGTGTAACAATTGTTCGCGATTCTGGAGTTTTTTATTAAAATCTATCGAGAAGTTTAGTCAATAAAAATAAAAAACTATGATCGAAGAAAAGCAATGTGTATGAAGCATTGGCCGATTCTCAAAGAATAACGTACTTTGATAATTAATATCTCATCAACTAGACAGACGAAATTATTTAAATCGTGGGATTAGATAAATATTACTATTATGTATGTCTGTGATAAATTCGATCGATTTTTATCGACAAAAATTTTGCACAATAACTACCTTAACTGTTGATGATGAAGTAAAACTTATTGTGTTTAAGATTTGATTTGTTAAATAAGATTTAATTATATTAAAAACTTTTATAATAGAAAATTATTTATATGTAGAGATTTAAGCTATAGAGTAGTGATCGATACGCGTGTTGTGTATGAGTGAAGTTGGCGCATGGGCGAAGCGAGTGCGTTAACACGCCGTTCAAAAATACGCTGGCCAGTTTCGATTCATTTAGCAAAATTTGATTGGGTGTATTTTTCTGTGTTTTGTTTTCCAATTAAAATGAATTCATAATTTGGGGTCGATGGCTTCGAAAATGAATCGATTTAAAGTTGTTTTGGCATCTACTCCTCTCAATGTCTCTAAATATTTTCGTTATCACCTTGTGATATCTCATCGTTCTCAAATTCTTTATATTCATATTCATTATTGTGAATTGGAATTTTCCAGATCAAATTAGATCGAATTCGATTAGATCAGATTAAATTAGTGTCATATTTAAGGTTTGACTAAATCTAAATATAACTGAACTTATTTTCACCGGATATACATATTCTTATTCAGGATGACAAACTTGATAACTTACAAAGTTTTCAAGATAATCGGAAATGTATAACCTAATTTGCATAATTACCGATAATATTTCCATTTCAGAATTTTATAAATAAATGTTTTACCATAATGCAATCGATTCTAAAAATTTTAATTATTTCTTAATGAAAAAATTGATGAACTTTATCCTAAGGTTAACTTTATCAGGATCATTATTTATATTTTTTAGATATATAAACAAATACTTCGATTGAATTATTTATTTTTCAATGTTATCACGAGTATTTTGATGTATATTTTAAAAAAATGTACATATATTTACTTGTTGTGAATGTGATAACTTATATTATTATCACTTCTAATAATATTTTTATTAAGATTATAAATATATATTTTCCGTTAGAATATCTGTATTGCAACTGATAACTCTGCCTGTTACTGATAGACGTCATGTGTATACAACAATTTTGCTGGGAGGGAGAGAATCATGATGATTACATGAAATGGATTCAGTTGAATACTTGTAAGCGTACATACCTGAATAATAGGGAAAAATTGTGTGTATAAAGTGAAATTAATTGATGGAGCTCACAACGCTATTGTTGGTATTCTTATTTTTACTGATTGCTTATTTTTTTTATTCGAATATTAATCCTTTCGAAAAGTATGGAATACCTTATATTAAACCAGTGCCAATATTTGGTAATATGGCTACACCAATGTTATGTCTGACTTCATTTGGTGAAATGGTTCAAAAAGTATATCAGTTTAATCCAAAAGCTAGATATGTTGGATTTTTTGACTTTAATTGTCCAACAGTTGTGATACGTGATCCTGAACTTATCAAAGATATTTCAATCAAAAATTTTGATAACTTCGTAGATCATCGAGGATTTGTAAATCCTGAAAATGATCCTCTGTTCGGCAACAATTTATTTTCTCTTCATGGAGACAAGTGGCGTGAAATTAGAAACCTTTTGAGTCCTTCTTTTACTTCAAGCAAGATGAAAGGTATGTTCAAGCTCATGTCAGACTGTAGCAAAAATTTTACTGATTACTGGATAGAAGAATCTAAAAAAGGTCCTGTCAATATTCATTCTAAAAATGCTTTTGGTAGATATACAACCGACGTTATTGCCACATGTGCATTTGGAATTACGACTGATTCAATGAGAAATCCAAAGAATGAATTTTACGTTCTCGGCTCCAAGTCAACTAGCTTTCAGGGTTTACTTGCTTTTAAATTTTTCTTATTACGCAGTTTTCCTAATATTTGTAATTTTTTCAAGGCAAAACTTATTGATTCTAAAGTAGAAAAATTCTTTCAAAAAATTATTCGTGAAACAATACAAATGCGAGAAGAAAAAGGTATTAGCCGTTCTGACATGATTCAATTAATGATGGAAACAAGAAACAAAACAAGCCAAGGTACAAGGTTAACCATTGAAGAGATGACATCTCAAGCATTTATATTTTTTTTTGGTGGATTTGATACAACGTCGATTCTGATGAGCTTTGTTGCTCATGTTATCGCTGCGAATCCTACTGTTCAAGCAAAATTAAGAAGTGAAGTAGATGAAATATACAAGAAATCTAATGGTGATCCTACTTATGAAATGATAAAAAACATGGAATATCTTGATGCTATTATCAATGAGACATTAAGACTTTACCCCATTGCTCCAATTCTGGATAGAATTTGTACTAAACCTTTTGAATTACCACCTGCTTTGCCAGGAGGAAAATCATTTCCTTTAAAAAAAGGTGATTGTGTTTGGTTTCCAGCTTTTGGTCTTCATCGGGATCCTGCTTTCTTTTCTGATCCAGACGAGTTTAAGCCAGAAAGATTTCTAGTTGACTCCAAGTCTTTGTTGAATTCTCCAGCATATCTTCCCTTTGGCATTGGGCCAAGAATTTGTATTGGTAACAGGTTTGCATTGCTAGAAACAAAAATATTATTTTTTCATTTAATTGCTAAATGTACTTTGAAGACCAGTCACAAAATGCATCTTCCATTGACATTGGACAAAGGTGTTGCGACGTCAGCTAAAGGAGGATTCTGGTTGGTTATAGAACCAAGAACTTTATAATAAAAATCAAGAACTTATCAATTTATACTTATATATAGTTTAATCAACTACTTACTTACATGTAAAATATAAATAAAAATGTTTTATAATAATTATACTTTCTTATTTTGTTAATCGAAAATTTTTTAATACTTTTAACGCAATGTTTAGTAAAATTTTTATGTTAAGTACATAAGTTATTATTAAAGGAAGTAGACGGACATAAGTCTGACGAAAATGCTTGAGACAGAGCTGGCTACGAGGGAACCTGATCAAATATATTTCAACAACAGTCGGCAACATTGCATGTAATATTTCATATATATACAATTATGATTGTATTATTTTTATTATAAAATCTCAAAATCATACTTATTTTGAAGTGTTTAGTTTAAATAATACATTCAATCACCTAATTAAAAAATAAACAGAATGTTAAAGCAGTTTGTTACCATTCAATGGTTAAATTATCTATTGAAGGTTGTCGCTAGCTTGTATCTAAAAGTTCCTTCACTATTAACGACTGTTGAGTTAAAAATCTACAACAAATATACAATGTACAATTTGTTGATAAGAATTGATTATGTGATCTTTAATTATATCTTAATTTAATTATAATATTGAAATCATGATCATCTCTGACATGTCAATACTTAATTATATTATAAGTATGAGTCTTCTTTTTCTTAATTTAGTTTATGTAGCGTAGAAAATTAGAAAAAAAAATTTTCTTTATTGATTAACAAGAACTAAAAACAAAAAAAATGATCTATTTAAACTTTATAAAATATAGTTTATAAAAACATTATAATAACATAATGTGAACACATATCTCATAAATAATTATATCTCTATGATTTACATACTTAATGATATTAGTAAAGTATGAAAATTAAGCTGGAAATCATCGCAGTTTTTTTTAATAAGAACACTCTAAAAACACCAATTCTGTAACTCGATGTATTTAGGGAACATCCCATAAACTTGTATATTTTATCTAGATATTGAAACGCTCATCAGAACATGAATATTTTAACAATTTTGAAGTTTCGTCAACATTTTGTTATCAACTGTTCAATTATGTTTCCTTTTTACTTTTTGGACATTTATAAATTTCATTCAGATCACTTGGGCTTTTTATCTAAAGGTAAAATTTTTATTTTTCTCTACACTAGTGACAAAAATAGGAAGAGAATAAAAAGGTAAAAATGTTACAGACCGACGCAATATTCCTAGCTTACATTCAACATGTCCTATAAGTTGGCAGTTGTGCTTCCATGCAGCGACAGCTTGACAGGACATAGCTCTTTCTTTATTTTCTTCTTCCATCTCTTTTTTTTTCTAGCCCTTTTACGGTGTTTCAAAGAAAAACTTTATAAGGTGGCATCTGTGCGGGTTGGGTTTGACTGTTAGTGTCACTATCATTTTTTAAGAAACAAGTGAAAAGACAAGTAGTTTAAAATTGGGAAAAGGGTACACGAATGTGTCAACTGAGATAAGTGGCTGACACGTGTGTCGAAATACTTCGGGATTTTTGATTTAAGGCACGTAAATGAACTTTATTGAAATTGGAGAGAAACTTCTATTCTAAACTGCTTAGTTTCTACGTGTCTGAAGTCATCAGATTGTTTTCAAAACAAATTTTGTGTTATGATTTATATTTTAAACTAGTTGTTTATTGATAAAAATATATATAAATAAATGTGAATATGGATTTTTTTAAAAATATTTATCTTTTCAATATCGTTATCGCTATAACAAGATTAAAAGGATGTGAATTTCCGTAGACCGACCACATTTTCGCAAGCTAACAGCAATAGCAGTAGTGGTTTCGATCGGATTATGACTAGCGGTCGACTTATTTCCGTCGTACTCGGATTATCTTCCATTCCCTACGGCACTTCTAATATCCGTATAATCTCATTCCACGCATCTACGATGTTGAGAACACTTGCCAAATATGTATCAGCTAGCATGTGACAAATTTTATCCTTGCAGCATATCATTCTCTAGAGCAGGATATATGGGGATTATTATTGATAAAAAAACGTACGCTTAAAATATATGATCCTACGTACGTATTGTTCGTCATGAAATAGTAAATGCATGACGACTGAAGTAAATGAATAATAAAAATCAAAAACATATCATTTTTTAAAAGATGGATTTCATTTTTAAGCATTGTATGTATTGAAATATTTATTGATCATTTTTTTAATTTAAATATAAAAGCTTTCAATCTTTTTAGTAATGTTTATAAAAATTTATAGTATTATTAACCATAATGCTGTTATAAATGAAGGAAAATTATTGGAATCAAGTTTTTTTTTAACTAGAATGGTTTTCTCTAAGGGTAAAAAACCCGTATTTGAAATATGTTTTATTATCTTAGTATGATGATAGGAGTTATCGAATTTTACATAATGTTACTCAATTCGTGAACTATTCATGATTTAAATCATCCAGAGTGGTTAAAATAAAAGCTGCTGATTTATTATTAAAACTTTTTGCGTATTATTAAAAATTATTTTTCAAATTTCTACCTCTCATTACGTTTTGTTATTACACGATGAATCACGGATTCAGAAATATTTTATTTCAATGGACTAAAAAGAATTTAATATGATGCAATTCTGTAGCTGCATTCGAATGTCTAGGTATTTTTTATCATCAACCATTTTAATGTAAGGTTAAGTTAATTTAGTTGACCTAATTTATAGTTGTGGATACAAATGAAAATATATTCTTTTTATTCTTTAGCGTAAAATGAATTTAGTTTTAATTGTATTTACATCTAGGAATCAGTACAGCAATTCACCATTTTCATGAAAAAAATCGCTTTAATGATTATACGATTGCAATAGCTACAATGTAGCAATATAGACACTTTCCATGAACGTTTAATCATTTCTAGGATATTTTTCAAAGTCATTTTTTTGTAATGTTGAAGCTCGAGGCCTTGTGTACTATTTAACCTCCCATTGGGTTTTCATTCTTTTCAAATACTCGTACAGTTATTTCTTCTCCATCGTCATCTCACCTTTTAATGGTAACATCGCAAGTTGCACTATATTTCAAATGTCATATTAGCGAAGGCTATGCGTCTTCCACGAAGAAATGTCCATGCTAGTACCGTATACTCTATATTTCTTCGCATCACTAGATGCTACCTCCTCTTCTTTCACCAACATTACATACTGAAATCATATCACCTTTCAGACATGCTACCAATTAAAAATTAATGCTTCGACATGTTATACGACCTGTGGTCGACGTGGGAATATGTCGTTCGCAGTCAATTAACCCACTTCCTTACATACTCTGCTGTCTTAAGTGCCAAGTTGGATGTGAGAGACACCCACCAATACCTTTTATCAGACTATCAAAGTCTTATATCACTCTGGAAATTATCGGCCAAGTAAACGAGTCCTTTGGGTGTCATTATTGTTCTCAGGAATATTGTCAGTGATCGTCATTTATCAGACATATTCATTACTCACTCATAGCTTATTCTAGATTTTTTTGTACTGATTGTGAAAAATTTTCTCACTTTACTAATTACTTTTTTCTACTTTTGGTATTTTCAAAATAATTTTATTTTTCAAAAATTTAATAGTATAAAACAGTTTCATATACCATCTAATAAATAGTCTTAAAAGAATCAAGCAAAATCAATATAAGGTTTTTTCCTTCATATCTTAATCACTTTATTATGTTGAAAACATTGTTAGAATTCTCATAAAATTCGATTGGTACACTGCAAATCCAAGTGTACCATTCTTGCAGACACTTTTAATATGCTAAGCCTCTTCAATGTTAAATGTCGTAACAAACTCTAGATTTTTCACACACTATGAAACGTGTAAAAAATATCTACAAATCATAAATAGTTTTTTATGGACATTTTACATTAAACACGCTTTATATGTGTTATTTTAACACGTTTATAATATCCTGGGATTTGTAGAATAGTATAAAACAGTTTTTCATATTTTCTGAAAATAAACAGTATATTGAAGAAATCCAGCTGCGATAATTCTATAACCATAAAAATTTTAATTATTTCCAATATTTTCAAATAGCCGCGTGGACTAAGCATTGGTTGTGTTGCGTGCGTAAGTTTAAGTGATCGTATATGAATACCCATAGCCTCGAATTTTCCTAATAGAATATTCTTTACGAGGTTACAATCAGAATACATAAAATCTAACAGGAGTAATTTTTTAATTATTTGAATTGTTTTTAATTAAAAGAGTATAATATCTCCTGAAGATTATAGGAAATGATACTTTACGTTTATGAAATATATTGTTGCTAATTTTACCAAATTATAAATTTTTTCAATATACTGTTGAATAATTTGATAAAATTAGCTACAATATTTCTAAAAATTACTTTTTAGTCAAATAAATTTTACTAGAATTTATTGTAAACCTCGAGTATCTATTGACGAGACATTTTTAGTAATAAACTTTGCTTAACTCAACGATCATCCATATAAGTGAAGGAGTTTCTAGTAAAATTTTCTAGAATTCTAGCAATATTGCTAGTTTTCTTCTTCTAGCAATATGACTGTTTTCTTCGTCAAAATTGAATAGGTAAAAATATATATTACAGATGCCGTTAAGGATAATATTAATATAACAGTTTTGTAATAAAAAATTTATGATGAAATTTTTGTATCTTTCAAGATCATTCGATATTTTTTCTTACAAATTTATTTTTTATTTCTTTTAAATACGTTATTAATTATTAATAACAATAATGTCAGTGTCTAATGTGATCAATTTTCATCATTCATGTTCCATTTGCGATTGGATAATCTGTTAGAAAAGAAAAGAAATAGGATTATGGGTCACTTTTTGTTTTTATTCAATTACATTTCACTCTGTTAAATTATTATCAATTATCATTTTTCGAAGTTTCTATTTATTGCCAATACATTATTTTTTAATACATGAATTAGCTGATGAAAGACGTACCGTGTTCGCATAATGAACAAATAAACTATATTAAAGACTGGACCATAATCCTACCTGCTCTCCTATATATAATGAATCGAGATCAAAATAAATTTATTTATACTACAAGATTGAATGCATTATAGTTACAATATTTTCAAAAATTGTATTTTGCCCAAAATAGTAAGAGATATAATGTGTCACTGACAAAGCTACTGCATATACGTTGTTCTTGTAATCATCCTTTGTGTTTTCTCATATTCTTTCTCTCCTACTAACGTAATACAGTGTGTGTTTTATTGGTAGTTATCTTTACTTTATTTGCTAGTAATTTAAACTTCAAATTTGACTATTGTATACATGAAATAGGCAATTTCATTGTAACAATTTTATTTACAAAAAGAATCCAAATGCTTTTTTAACCAATAAAGTAACTCTTTGTTAATAAAATACCTACATGCATAATATTTTTCATTTCTTTGTTATTTTCCAAGTAAATATGGCCAGTACTTGCAATACATTTAAAATTTAAAAGTTGAAATTAACTTGAAGTAGAGAAATTAGATTTGTGTTTGCTTAGAACAGACAAAGTAGGAGATAACTTAAGAAGAAGGTTGATAAAGGATAATAGTTGGATGAAAGCAGAAACGAGACAAAGCAATATAGAATTTCAAGATAAATGGAATGAGCACTAGCTTTGCTTGATGTAAATCAAGACTATACCGAGCCTGACACTCATGAGATAATTTCAATCCTCCGAATTTCAACTTCTCTGAAGATAATATACTAATTAGAGATTCTCGAATCTAATAACTAATATCTATATACGTGATAGATAATAAAAATACAATTTATTAAACATTCTATGAAATTCTCTAATGTTCTCTTGTCCCTTTAATTTCTTAAATCAAGTTGAGTCAAAATGTTTTCCTTAACAAAAAGAATGGAAGAAATAAATAAACATTTATTTTCAGAAAAATTACTCAACATTTTTCTTGGCAATTTTTAATAAATTAAACGCAATTTCTAATGAATGAGAATATAATTAATGAAACTAATCATGAAATATTATTTAAATTACTAATATAAAATTTTAATGATTGTCAAATTAAATTAAAAGGAAATTTCAAATGAGTTAATGACGTACTTACCGCGGACGCAAAACTTTCTGATTAATCTCCGAGTTAATACCTCGGAGATTCTCCAGATTGAGGTGTAGTTATAGATATATAGCAAATTTAGGAAGGGGGAAACTATAACAATAGGTGCAAAGAGTCGGCGCAACCGTTGAATGTCGGAAAGGACGTAGTTGATAAAGGAGTGAGGAATAAAGAGGAGAAATAGGCACGTGGATTTTAGAACGCATGCGTTACGTTGTTGCTCCTGCAAGAATTTTCTTCTATGACCAGTCTGTGTCTCAACTTCGTTACGAGAAGATTTTTTAATTCCTTCGAGTGTTGTTTTTTTCAAATGAAAGGCAAATTTTATAATTTTTCAATTATTTGTCACCAATAGTGATTCATTAATATTTTTACTGTCTCAAAACTACATAAATAATGACTATTAATAAGTTTTTGGGAACAGTGTTTATCATCATTTTCATCCTTCATGCTGAGGGTAAGTACTATGATAAATTTGTTTAATACGTGTCTGAGAATATTTTTTAAAAATATTTAATACTTTCAAAATGAAAGATATCCAGTTAGAAATTAAATTTTTCGTTGAACTTGAATAAGGAGGAACGTTAATTTGACTGATAATATATATTAAGTTAATATTCTTGGAATGAAAATTAACTAGTGATTTTCAGAGTACTTGATTTATAAGTGAAAAATGATCTCACTTACAGCGTAGATACACAAACGGCTTATGGAGAACGATGAAAGTTGTTATTTAAGAATTGTGTGCGGATTATTAATGATAAAATTAACAGAGTAATTCGATAATTAGCAGGAAGAACAAAAAAATATCGTAGAAAATTCATTTATGTAGGTAATTACATAATAAGAGTAAAATTTAATTGGGTACGTGACAATATCTTATACGTACACGTGCTCCCAGGAGTGACTATAAAATTAGAGGTTGATGTTGGGGTTAGAAACTTGCGATTATGATCAATTTAAACACCTAAAATGTTTATAATTATTCTACGATCTATTGCAGGATGAACATAATAATAATAATTATTATTATTAATAACAATGAGTCATCTATTTAATGAATAACAATTTACTTAACATTAAAATGCTAATTTCCAATGGATCTTATTTTTTTGTTAAGTTGAAGCAAAGTATTTGATCGATTTTTATACAATATCTCGTTGAATCAAAAGTTCGATAGTCGATTTTTTCTAGAGAATTATTATCAATGAATACAGCCTGCAGCATAGCTATTTGAAAACATAAAATCGAATGGTCGTTAAAGTTCAATTGGCTTGCTAATTAATTTTCATGTAGATAGTCACACTTTTCCCCTCTGGGTAAAGAGAAAAATATCATACTGTATATTTAGTTCCATACGTTACGTAATTATTTCAATTTTTCTTTTTCAGTTCATTTAATTAACAGAAATCTGTTGAATTACTTCTGATATTCATAGTAATGATGTTTATATAAAATTGTATTTAATAAAATAACTTTTAACATTAAATTTGTCATGATGATTGTGCGAATAAACAATATCAAATGTTATTATTGTGTGTTTGCATAATCTTATGGTACGCTATATCATATAATAATATAGTTTATCAATAGGTCAATAGCATAAGAGCACTTGTATTTACCAACCACAAAGTATAAAATGTCACTTACACGTGGTGTTTTGTAAACCTCCAATGAAATCGCGAACATAACCACAACTATTTCTCGTCACCCACACAAAATTCCCTAGTTCATCCAATCATTCGATGCAAAAATTTGATCGTCATTCAACCCATTAAATTGAATGGGGGTAATTTTATTTTCATTGTTTTTAATAATTTGTTCATGTAATATTCATAAAACTACCTTGAAAAATAAAAAAAAGCTATTACTAACGTACTCGATAATAAAAGTTAATATTAAATTTGATTTTAAAAAATGCTGATATTTTTTGAAAATCTAAATTTGTTTTGTGAAAAATAGATCAAATTGAAAATAGATATAATACACAAATGTGTATACAAAAAGTCGAGTGTTTTCCACTTTGAGCAGAATACTTTTTTTTGTCATATATCTGGGGTGTTGATCTCACGGGCTTTCGGTCGGTAAAGGACCGGAATGAAATGAAATGTTTGACAATTTCATCTTTAAATTAAATTTCGTTCTTTTTTGGAGAAGGCTTCGCATTCTTCTTTATGGTCTCTATAAACCCATCCCGTGTTGTACTCTTATCCCTTAATTGTCTTAATGTTATTTTTATCGACATTTAAACTGTAGCAAAAAATAGTATGCACAACTCGGACGGTAGTTGATTGCATACTTAGGCATCTATTTTGTGCTCTTGTTGTTCAATAAACCACTATCGTAATAATTGTATTAGAAAAAAAACTTCTCTAAGATTATTGCTATGGAAGGATATATTTGTTCTCAAACTGTTGGGCTATTATAATTATGCTTTATTGTATTATTATAGTAATTAATTGATTTTACTCAGAAAAATTCGGCTTTTTGGAAGGCAAGCGCGGAATCGTGGGTCTAATATGTAAAAAGTTTTTTTAAACTTTAGTTTAAATTAGTACAAATGTTAAGGACTATCTTTATATCAATGAAGTTTACTCAGAGATAATTTCTCTGAAATGCAAGGACTACTCAAAAAAAAAGTAAATAAGATATTGTATTTGAATAGTAAAATAAAAATTTTTTCACTGTCATAATTACAGATAATAATGATGTTTTCAGTGAATTAATGGATGAATGGAAATTTTAATATTCATTCAATTTAAATATGACAATTTCAAAATATCGTAAATATTTTTTTTAATTGTACATGCTTAAAATAAAAGTTATTTAATAAATTAAATTAATTTTCACGAATTTTACTTTCCATATCTAAATATTTCGTTTTTATTATAGCATATATTTAAAATTGATTTTATTAAAAAATACTTCGAGCTGTAAATTTATTAGAGGAAGGTGGGGTAAAGTGGAACACCAAAAAAAACGTAAATCAACAAATTAACCATCAATATATTAGCAAATGTTAATTTTAAATCCATTAATAAATTAAACAATTGATAAACAAAAAGTGCAATAAGTGTTTTTAAGCTTATGTTCACGAATTAGTAAATTGTTTTATTTTGCTCCCACATTCCACTTTACTCTCCCTTGCTCTACACATAAGAATTATTAAATGAAATCGTAGTTGGCAGTTACTTAAAATTTTCCGTAGAAAATAAATATCAAGCTTGTTGCATATATTAATGATCCAATAAATATGTAATTTCGAGAAAATTATTTAAGGATTTGCTTTGAATATGCGTAGTATGATGAGTATTCAAAGTTTCGAGTTTCTTGACGCGTGACACAACTGTATGTAGGCACTGTAATGTACATATAATAAAGTACACTATAGAGAAATTATGTCTTCTGTATTCTGCTATTTTCCCTCATTTCCTCAAGCGTATTATATAACTTCTATAGAATATTGTATTCGAGAATACTTACTGCAGTTTATACAGTCTTTTCCGTATTAAGAAATAGAAAAGTAGTCTGTGAATTAAAATAATATTTGTTACAATTTAATATTTGACTATTTTTATTTTTTTTTATTCAACAGGAACATGATAAAATATGGTGGCAGTCATAAACATTGTTAACTGAATCAGAAAATCATATAAAAATTTTATAATACATTTCAATATTGAAAATTCATCAAATTACAAAAAAGAGAAGGAATTTTTGTTTACTGGTCCTCTTTTAATTCAAGCTTTTCAATACTGCATGTTCAGATGACAATAGTAACTCTTATTAAGCAGTCTTTTATTTAAAAATTGAAATTTTTATCATGACAGGTATTTTTATTTATAAAAGTTTAGTTTTTTTCAACTATTATCATCCATAAAACTGTTTTAAAATTAAACTATATGAATTTTTTCTATTTTTATTATTTATTCTTATTAAGTAACATGCAATATTAATATACCATAGAGGAGGGCGGATCAGAAAAGAACTAGTAAGCCAATAAATTACTGTAAATCGAAGGTGTGTTAAAATGACACACCTTGAGTGTGTTCAATATTAAATTGCTATACACAAACTTGTGGCTATTTCTAACATACTTCAAAGCATAACATTGAACACGTGTAGATAATTTTACTGTAACACATTTTGAATTTACATTAATAGAATTCATGGTTGGGTGCTTCACATTAATTTGCATATTTTTTAAAAGAAATCCAAAAAAGTGCTTGAGATATTAAAAATTTATCACGATAGTATGAATTTATGTCATTCAAATAAAAATAGCGCTTCTATGAAATTTTTATTCCATTTATGATAAGAAATTTTGTTTTATATTCAATAAAATAACGTGTAAATACTTGAATTCGATAAATTTTTAAATAAGTTTTCATTTTTCCACATTAATTTTATTTTTTTTTTAATTTTTTTGTATTTTGATTTTTTTATTTTTATTTTAGATAAAATAGAATTTTTTATAAATAATCTATTTACAGTTATTTACAACTTATGTGACTATTTTTTAATAAGTTTTGAACAATTTAATGACTCAGTATGATTACATTTAATTACATACTCAGAAAGAATTGTCAACCAAAAACATAGAAGAGGAATATAACGTTTATGTCATGGTTCGAGTTCCTTATCTATCTTGTAAGCAGTGTCAAAGAGAATTGAATGTCTGACAGAAGGAAATGCGAGAAAGTATCACATTATCCAAGCCAAAAGGATTTAGTATTTGAGATATTTTCGAATAGAATAGGAGAGAGCTGGGTAGTATAAGAGTAAGATAGAAGTTAAGAAACGAAGGAACAGACAAGGGTGGTATTTCTTTGGCGGCTGCGATTGTAACGTCGACATCCAAAATCCTTTTGGCCAGTCGTTTCCACCCGGATGTATCTCTAACTCCTACCCCTGTCTTTGCCTCTTTTCTTTTCCATGGCCGGGCGAATAAATCTATTACAGCGAAGGACGTTCTTTGTGAAGTTCTTGGTCGTCTAGATAGTTGGATGCTACGGAGTTTGGGTCGAGGACCTAGAAGAGAACACGAGAGAGCCAAAGAAGGAAAAGAGGTCTTGGTATGTTGGCTATTGTTCAAATAGTCTATCTGACAATAAAAACCTATGCACGTTCTTTAAAACATTTTTTTATTTTTATCAACGAATTCAAAGGCTTAAGACTAAAAATTGTAGGAATATTAGAAGAAAAAATGTTCTTACATCTATCTATCTATCAATCTGTTTATATATCTTTATTTTCTTTACTCTCTTATAAGTTTATATTGTTAGCCTTTTTTTTTATTTTCTCATTCTTTTGTCTTTCTTCCTTCTTCAATTTATGTCTTCTTTACTTTACGAAACCCTCGTACTACCAAGTTCTAGTTACAAATGGAGCAAGAAATGTGTTTGTATTTGGAATCTGGCCAGATAATCCGCAGTAATAAATATCTGTGTGTACAAC